CGATGAAGAGGCGTGTCGTCATCGTCGGCCATCAGTAGACCATCAACGAGTCCACTGCCAGAGGGGCCGGCGTCCGACGCCGACGGCTGCCCCAACTGCATCCACGTGTTGCCCAGAATCTGCAAGGTTTTATTAAGCGTTTTTCCCTATTTTTATTATTTTAAATGGTAAGGAAAAGCTGGCTCGAAATCTGAGGAAAAAAGCGCACTAAAAAGCGGATCTTTTGCATTATCGGGGGGGGTGTATTAGTCTAGAAATGTCTAGTTTAATCAAGTTTAATCTCTAAATAGCAAGTCTAGAATTTGTAAAGTATTTTATCAATGTTTTTTGTATTAAATAGTTATATTTCAGCTAGAAAAACTATCAAAAACCTTTAAAAACTGAAAAGAAGTCGAGAATTTAGTCCAAAATCGGGCATTTTTTATAGAAAATTGATATGTTTTTGTATTTTTTATAAAATTTATACAGTTTTTTGCGTTTAGAAATCGTAAAAATTTAATTTTAATGATTTTAAAGCACTAGATTTATAAAATAGAATTATCGCGATCCGCAAAACGTAATAAAAATCAAGGATTCGAAAACGAATTTAGGCGGATTTAAGTAAAAACCCTCTTTCGTAGCGTTATCGAGTTCTTATTGATTTAAATTAATAAGAAAAGGTCGCTGCGGGTCGTTAAAAAAAGAGGAAGCTATTAAAAAGTCTAAAATCCTTTGTTGGCAATAATTAATAGTTTTTTTATTGATTTTAAAAGATCGGAAAAACCCGCGGAAACGAGCCAAAAGAAATAAAACTATTAAAACAATTTTAAGATACATTTTAAGTTTATCGCGGTTCTATTAAACCCAGATCGAAAGGAAAAACAGCAGAAAATCGAGCTATCGGAGAAAAAAATCAAGAAAAAGCCTCTTAAAAATCGCTAAAATCACCAATTTCCCAATAAATCATTAAAACTCGAAAACGCGAGCCAACGAACCCGGCGAAGAGCTACACAACCCGAAAACCCCCTCAAATGGAGCCAATGGCGGGGGCAACGGGACGCCTAAACTGGCTAGCGACGACTGCTGCTGGTTGCTGCCGATGGCTGCGACGACGAACTAGCCCTGTTCTGCCCCCCAACCCTCATGAAAATCATCCCCATCTTTGTCGGCGTTCTCTCAATCATCGATATTCTATTTTATGACGCTAAATCGTGGTCTTGGAGCTGTAATTCAGCCGCGAAAATATACAAAAAACCGGCCTGAAAGTAATAAATTATTTGCGAAAATCACGATTGAGCCTAGAATAGCGTCTTTCCGTTTAATATAAGCTTCAGGAGCTGTAATCGGAAAGAACCGGAATAGGAAAAGCTAATTCTAAAGAAAAGGCAGCTGAAAAACGCACGGAAAAGCCGAGAAACAAAAACGATCGATATAAGGCCCCCGGCGGATTAGTCACGTATCGATTGGCCTGGGGAGTTACGAATGCTGACGCAGCAAAATTCAGTACCAGGCTCAGCTTGAGGACTTTTCTTCCGAGACGTCGACGAAATGAAAAAGGTCTCGTTAAAATTAATTAGATTCAGCTATTCTTGATCTTTTCAGTGCCAAAATTCGGCCTTTTATCGATAAATTGTGCTCAAGAATTCTAGGCAAAAATAAGAGCAGCTTGAGACGATTTAAAGTGCCTTTAAAACCGAGACAAGCAGAGCAAAGCCTAAAAAATTTAGAGCAGCAGCAGGAGCACCATAATAAAAAGGGGCTAGTCGATCGATTAATCGACCGATTTGAAATATTCGGAATAGGATAAGCGGAAATAATTCAATTTAGACTAGGAGGAGCTGCCTTTAAGAAGCAGGTAAAGCCTCAGAAAAAAAAATAGGAAAAGAAGCGGAAACGCCGGAAAAGTAGGTCTCTCAATCGATTACCGGAGTATGATTGGATGAATTCGGAATAGAAAAAGCCGAAATGGCGCGCCTGAATAATGAAATGATATCTATAAGAAGCTCCGCATTAAGCTTCATAAAATTCGAGCTCAAAAGTTTTCCAGAAGCCGGCTTCGGACCAAAATCAATAGCCAGATCGATTCTGTCGCTTAAAATTGGCGTCGTGATTGATTCCTCGCTTCGTAGGGCTTCAAAGAATCTAGAAAACTCGAAAATCCAACCGTTTCCGGTCCATAAAAGCTAGAATTAAGCTTAAGAGAGCCGAAAATCAATAGCTAGATCGATCTTACCGCCTCAAAATCGGCGTTTTTACACGCCTTACAGGTTTACAAAGCTTAAAAGATCATAGAAAACTCGAAAATGCAACCGTTTCCGGTTTCTAAAGGCTGAAAGTAACCTTAGAAAACTCGCAAATCAATATTCTGATCGATCATCTCGGCTCGAAATCGGCGCCTTTACACGCCTAACAGGTTTACAAAGCCAAAAAGAACATCGGAAACTCGAAAACCCATCAGTTTCCGGCCGATAAAACCCAAAAATACTCCTTGAAAAGCCCCGACAGCTGCCCAGCAGCAGAAATATCGAAGCAGCCCGGGTTGGGTGGTGGGGGGTGGACGAGTGTTGGGAGAGCCCCCTCCCCTCAGCCACGAGTCCCTCTATTCCCTTCCCCTCCTCCTACAATGCCATCGATCGCCGGCCAGCCCCTGGCTTCTCGTCGTCGCGCCTCTCCTCCGATACCTCACTCTAGACCTGCCTCTAGCTGTCTGCCCCTCTATTTACCCTCACTATTCCCGGGGAGCATTTCCCTCCTGGGTTTCCGCCTTTCCCTAGTCTCTACACCCCCCACTTCTCCCGCACACAACAGCTGATCACGACGCAGCCGGCCAGCAGTGTGTCTGTCTGTCTGTCTGTCTGCTGTGTGTCTCCTCCTCGCTCCCCTTCTTCTCCGCTCCGGTCCACCACCACCGCACCGTACCGTAGCGAGGGGACGGCTAAAGTGAATAGAAAAGGCCGGGTTGAAGGGGTCGGGGGACAGCAGGAAAGCAGGAGAAGCTTCGCGATGACGATTCCTTTAGCTTAAACCCTGGCTTCGTGAGCTTCAGCTTAAAGGGATGCCGACGGCATAGACAATCGGTTACGCGCGGAAAAGAAAATGTCTCTGCGCCTCTCCCCTGGGCGCGCTCTCTCCCCTGTTGGCTACTTGCCAATTTGTTGATGAGGGGGGATCGACACATGCCGTCGGCAGCCCTTTAAGGTAAAATCGCAGAAGCGCGAAAGCAGGCTTTGTGAGCGTCAGAAGCCTAAGTATCGGAATAAGAAAAGCTATCAACGCGAATAGAAAGAGGTAAGGGACAGCAGGAAAGCAGGAAAAGCTTCGACAGGACGATTCTTCTAGCTTAAACCCTGGCCTCGGCAGCTTAAACCTAAGCCAGAAATAGCGGAAGCGCGAAAGCAGGCTTGGTGAGCGTCAGCAGCCTCAGGTTCGGCATAAGAAAAGCCGCTAAAGAGAATGAAAGAGGTAGGGAACAGCAGGAAATCAGGAGAAGCTGCGGCATGACGATTCCTCTGGCTTAAACCTGGCTTCGTGAGCTTCAGCTTCAGGTAAAAATCGCAGAAGCGCGAAAGCAGGCTTTGTGAGCGTTAGAAGCCTAAGATACGGCATAAGAAAAGCTGCTGAAGTGAAGAGAAAGATGTAGGGGCCAGCAGAAGCAGCAAAAGCTTCAAGCTTACGATTCCTTTGGCTTAAACCCTGGCTTCGTGAGCTTCAGCTTCAGGTAAAAATCGCAGAAGCGCGAAAGCAGGCTTTGTGAGCGTTAGAAGCCTAAGATACGGCATAAGAAAAGCTGCTGAAGTGAAGAGAAAGATGTAGGGGCCAGCAGAAGCAGCAAAAGCTTCAAGCTTACGATTCCTTTGGCTTAAACCCTGGCTTCGTGAGCTTCAGCATAAGGCAAAAAAGCGAAAGCGCGAAAACAGGCGGCGAAACTTCACAATGACGCTTCTCAGGCTTATCCCTGACTTCGTGAGCTTCAGGAACTTGGATTAGGGATAAAAAACCAAAACGATGAAGCATACCGATGAAGCTCGATCCACAAGACTTTGCTTAACCCAGCCCCAGATTTCAGCTAAAGCGCAAGCTTAGCTTATATCGCTTCGAATTCGCCCTAGGCTTGGCTCAAGCTTAGCTTAGCATTTACAAGTATGTCTGAAGCATCTATCGAAAATCGAACAAGACGTAGCCAAAGTTGACCAGGAAAAGAACCTCGGAAAACCGGAAGTCTTAACGCGTTTAACCTACTTGAAAGGGGAGAGAGAGAGAGAGAGAGAGAGAGAGATAGGTCGATTAATAAAAACCACTATCAAGCCCCCGGATATAAACAATTACCAACAACGAACCGTGGAGCAGGCCTCATCGATCCTCCGCCTCCTTCAGGCTTCATCCCCCACTCGACGGGCTTCTCCTCGCTCGGCCATCTGTCGTCGTCGGCGCGGCTCGTTAGCCTAAATTTCCGGACCTTGAGCTTGAGCCAGAAGCCTCATTATACAATGTAATTTTGAGGCGAGCCGGGGTAGACTTCATAAAAGTAAGGGTTATATCACTTTATCTCCGTTACAACGTGGATTTAGCATATTTAAAAACACCAATAAATCGCAGATTCTCGCATATGATATGAAGCAGCACTGGTACGTAGAGAAACAGAGGAAAAACCTCGACAATGTCAACAACTTCAACAAGGGTGGAATGGGGGCCCACGAAATAAATAAACGGGAAAATCAACAATAGCCTAAGAGATGGAATTTATGGTATTGGGATGTTAGCGGGGGGGTTAGCACGAACCAAAACCAAAAATATTGAAAAATCGAAATTTAGACCGATTTTTGGTGATTTTTCAGAAATTTTTGAAAATTGTAAAAAATTTCGACGGTTCGCATGATTTTCCTAAGCTTTTTATATCTAAAAACTGCATAAACAGCTAAAAATAAAAAACGATATCTAGATACGGCTAAAATCCTCCCCCCCCCCGCTAACAGACCAGTACCGATTTTAGACGTTAAAGGCATTCGCAAGCCGTTCATCTACAGCATGTCCGCCTGATCGGGCCGGGGCAGCATCGTGGCGTGCGTGATGTAGGAGGTGTGCGTTGGTTGCGTGGCCGGGAATACCTGGAAAAAGATTTTTGTCTTAACTTACTTGACTTTTAATTAAAACTAAAGTCGATTTGTTTAGCTTCTCTTAGCTTAATTTGCTCTATGCAGGCTTAGCTTAAATTTAAAATCGGTTTGGAGTGCAAAAAAAGCGTAATTTGGAGCGTCTTGTAGTCCCTAGACAAATTTTGGGCTCTTTTGCATTATTGGGGGGGGCTAATCTTTTCCCATACGTCCAAAAATGCCTAATAATGTGATAGTAAGTATTTTAATAGTGTTTTTAGCAGAATAGATTTTGAATAGGAAAAAATGATAAAAGTAGCTGAAAACGCGGAATTTTGCTCAAAAAATGTTTTCGACAGTTCCGAAAACGTAAGTTGGAGCGTGGTGTAGCCAAAAATCCATCCCCAAATTTTTACCTGAGCATTGATCACCGTCGAATTCCACAGCGCCGAGTCGTCCGAATTGGCCGACGAGACCGAGTGCTCGAGCTAAAAAATGGGATTAATTTCCAAAAAAGCGACGCGATACCTTCCGCTTGCGATTCCGGTCCTTGACCACCACCGTCGTGTTGTCGCCATTCTTCTCGAAATCGGCCAGCGACTGCTTGTGAAATTCGGTGGTACGGTAGGTCCTAAAAACAAAAAAAAACCCCTTGAGATTTTCCACCAGGCTTACCTATTCACAATCTCGACCGTCTCCACGTTGATGAAGCCCATGGCGCGCATCACGGCGCACGTTCGTTGGACCTAAATAAAATGATATTAATTTAATATAATGAAAAATGGTTGTAAAAATTAGCCAATCAAAAAAATACCTGTTCAATACAAGGGCTAAAGCTGACCAGACGTCCGCCACGTTTGAACGATATTGCCGCCGCGGCGTAGGGAATCTGAAAAATCCTAGTAGAATCGTTTTTATTAGGAAAATGGCCTTAAAAATATGGGGGTTATGAAAAAATTTATCCTTTTTTTAATATATTTCTTTTTCAATTTCACATGAAATTGTGCATGAAAATTCAAGAAAAACTGAAAAATTGAATTTTGTTGTAAAGTGGCAAGATATATGTAACACAACTTTAAACGTACCGCTTCCCAAGGCGCCGGCACGTCAAGGAAAACGCCATCGCAGGCATTTTGGACGAAGAAGCCCTCCTCGCAGACGTTTTGCACCATGGCGGTGATGACGGTGTGGAGGCCATGATCCTAAAATAATGAGTTTTAAAGGTACTGGCTATGGATTTTTTACACATTTTGCTAAGCCCCGTACTCGCAACGTACGCGGCTTTTCAATGTCTAGGCGCTCACGCCGCCTTCAAGGTGGTTGGTCAAGTGGCGTGCGCGTTGCGTGCCGCGGAAGCGGTAAAAAATATAGGGGATTCACAGCGATTTTACCAGCAAAGTACAGAACAAAAAAAAACAAGAAGTTCAGACTTTTCAATCAAACATGGCGGATTTGCGATTCTTTTTCTCCTTTTTCTACTGTTTTTCTTATTCAAAAGAGCACAACCTTAAAAAATCGCTAACTCCTACGCGTCAAAACCACAAAATTAAGTTTTTCTACTAAAATTTGTAAAAATTTCCTACAAAATCTTCACCCTGAATTCCTCCTCAATCTTCCTGATGCGGCTCTCCTCAATGTCGTGCGTGTAGATGTGCCCTGACGGGTAGACGGCCATCCCGAGGGCGTGCGTCAGACTTCCGGAACCGGTGCCCGACTCGCAGATGACACTTCCTAAACGGAAATAGCTAAAAAAAGGCGGAACTACTAGCGTACCAGGCTTCACATCCAGCATCTGCAGAATCATGCCGATATCCGGGGTGTAGATGATTTGTGTTCGTTTCGGCAGGCAGCGCGTCCAGAGTTCGGAAGACGGGCGGAGCAGCCAGACGTATCCAGCCGTGGCGGACACTCGACTGCCCCATCTAAATTCAAATAATCAAAAAATACGATGAAACGTACGGCTTCCCGATGATGAATTCGTGACGTAGGGCACCGTATCGCATACTGACCGTCTGGCCACGCTGAAAAAATAGAGGTAACGACTCAATCGAAAAGAAATAGATACCTTGACAACGACCGGATACAAGCTGTCGAAGGACACGTAGACGATCACCGTATCGCCGTCGTCGATTCGTTCGGCGTAGTGGAGGAACGAGGGGCCGCCTGGAAAATCGGAATTGATGCTATAAATTGCCTATCTGATTTTCTATCTACATGTACATCAACCTTAGCGATTTCTCAACACCACTAAACCTCATAAAAATTGATTAAAACAACTCGATTTCCTCGGTAAAAATGTCGAGTTTTCAAGCTAAAACGACTAAATCTCGTTATTACATGCTTTCTCAGTTTTTCCAAAGTTTTTCGGACAACAAACTCAACACTAAACCTTGAAAAAGCATTAAAAACGAAATATTAGGCCAAAATTCGTGTTTTCAACCTAAAATCTCGTGATTCATAATTTTCTGTGTTTTCCGTTACTTCTCGATACTGTAAATCTGCGCAAACAGGACAAAAATTCGTATTCTTGCGCCGAAAATACTAAAAAGCGACTTTTCACTCAAAATCTTACATATTTCCGATTGAATGGCACCGTCCCCGGAGTCGGTGCTAAATTGATGGTGGCGAGAGAGCATCGCCATCAAGGGAGAAGCTGTAGACGCAGATTTTCCGGCCTAATACTCTAAAAAAAGATAAAATACCTTCTAAGAAACCAAATTATCGTATTTCTCGCGAACAAAAAAGTATAAAGTCTTTATCGTGTTCAAGGGATCTGTCAGGTGTCGTTTCCTCTGAATCAATCGCAATTGTCACTCCAAAATCTGCTCAGCAATATTTATTCATTCAAAGAAGAACCATGGCAAGACACGGGAGCGAGAGAGACACACATGGAGAAGAAGAGAAGAAGAATACATCATCAATATCCGCTGGCTAAGACGACAAAAATTTGACACCCTCGTATTCGGTTCCTATATTGTAAAGCTGAGCACGGCGTTGGACCTCGAGGCTGCGCAGCGCCTTCAGGAGGATCTCCTTCTCGAGCCCGTGGAAAGCTGCAAAAAAGCTATAATAATAGCTTTTCGGGGAGAAATTTTTCCCTAGGATTCGATTTTTCTAACAGCTAGATAAAGGAATGGCTTTTACCCTTTTTATTATAAACCTTAACGTAAAAATTTCAGCAAAAACTGATTAAAAAGATAAAATTATGGATTTCAGAACGAAGATGTCATTTTTTTGCTAATTATAGCCAATTTAAAGTAGTATTTCCTGTTGAAATATAATAAACGTAAAATCGTAGATTCAAAAATACTCAGAAATATAGTTTTCGATCAAAAAAATGCCGATTTTCGCCAGATTTCTAAACTTTCTAAACATTTTTAGAGGTTTCGAAATAGTCTTTGCTTTTAAAATATAGCCCAAAATTGACTACAAATAAATTTAGAACACTCGTTAGTACGTTACTACGCATAGCGAGGCTTTTAGGAGAAAATTGAGTTGCCCCCACCCCCAAAAATCGAAAAGCTCCCGGTTTTTTAAAGCAGATAAAAAACTTAAACTCACATTCTGTGACCGTGTCGTCACCGTGTGCAATCTCGTAAAGCGTGCAGCTCTGGTTGGCCAGCCCGTTGCTCTGCGCCCACCTAAAATCATCAAAATAAGCTGAAAACCCTAGAACCCACTCAAAAATCAGCGTTCCCCACTCTTCCGGTGTTCGCCAGTAGATGTGGCACCGCGTGTGATCCGGGTCTGTCCAATCCAAATGTCCTAAAAACACAAAAATATGGATTAGGCCCAAAACCCACTCTTCTGTTCTAAATACCCAAAAACAGCTTTGACGCCCTCGGAATCTAATCTTCCTAAAAAAGAATGAAATATAGAAGGATCCAGCTTACTATTTAATTTCTGATTAAAGAACAGCTCGCCCTGCTCGGCCTCGTTCAAATCGAAGGTGAAGATCTTGTTGAACTGGGCGTAGTCGATGACGAGTCGTGCCCACGCTTCCAGCTGCTTTTGCCGGGTATTTGCTACTGGTTGCAGGCTAAAAGAGGTAAATTAAAACTTGAAATTAGAAAAACCAAAAGCCAGGCCAGCCATAATAATTTAAAAAAACTCACGTGAAGAATGGTGGAAAATCATACTGCCACGGCCATTTAAAAGACATCCTATTATCCGCTTGCCATCACACAGCGAGACGGTCAAAATAACTGAAAAAAAATCATTATAATATTTCTTTTTCGGTTTCCTAACAAGAAAGCACCGAATGATTTAATGAAACGAGTCGAAAAAACTTTTCTATTCGTTTTCAGAGAAGCACAGCAGCTTTCTTCTGCCAAAATCAAAAGAAACGCATCTTTCTCGTTGGTTTCAGAAAATAGAACCCAGATCTCCGCTGCTAAAATCAAAATAAAACCATATTTCCTTTACTTTTTTACAAAAGAAACTCGTTTTCTGGAATCAAAAGAACAAGAAAAGAAAAGCCTTCTCTCAGTTTTCAGGAAAAATAACATGTTTTAACCTTTCCAGAAAGAAACACAATTCGTTTTCAAAAGATCAAAACAAAGACCCCTTTTCTTGCCGTTTTAACCCTTTGATTTTCGAAATAGGCAAAACGCATTTTCCTGTTTTACACAAAATAAACAGCTATTTCATTTTCGCGAAAAAGAGACACTTCACTTTCTAAAATAAATATAAATCCACTGGCCTTTGACCAGTCAAAAAACCGTCTCCATAACCATGAAAAACCTATTTATCTATCTGCCGTAGTAGAGAAGAAAGAGAAAGAAAGAGAGATAATGATCATGCGAAATCCCAGAAAAAACTAGAATATGGTGCACATATCATCAGTCGTCGTAAAATGGGGGGCCGGAAAGAAAGAAGAGGGGGAAGAAGAGCACAACAACAATGAAAAGACGCACGAAAGAAATCCGATGATGAGGGGGGAGAAAGCCGAAGGAAAAGCCGTAGTGCTATATACAACAGAAAAGACCGTTGAGCGGGTGAAGCTCGTATATTGTCAGGGCTGAAAGGAGGGTGAGGGAGTGGAGTGGGCGGCTAAAGAGACGAGATCGTCTTAAATAAACCTCAGGGGCTTTGGCAATAGCGGGGGGTTTTCTGGGAAAATCGATTTTTTTTAGATTTTTTATACAAAAATTTTACAGGTCTTACGTTTAGAAATAGCAAAAATAGTGTAAAATCCTTTCTATTTATATAAACAAATTCAACCTCCAGGAAATATTTAAAAACCTGAAATTTAGGCGAAAATCGTTTTTTTCTGTATTTTTAAAACCCTTCCCCTTTTTACGTTTAGAAATATGAAAAATAAACGTAGAAATACGTCCCCAATTATATTAGAAAATTGGCAAAAAAAAGGTAAAAATGGAATTTTCGTCAGAAACTCGATATTTTTACGATTGCAATGGAAAAAATTGTCCCCCCCGATATTGCCAAAGAACCCAACTTCAAAAAGTCTCGTAAATCCCGGCAAAAATACCGAGAAGAGAGACGGGCTTACCACGCATTTGTTGGGTGAAACGGGGAATCGTGTTTTTGGGGGATATAGAGCACATAAGGACAAGAATACATTACACAGCAGAGGAGGGAGTACCGATAATTGGATCGAGAGGGGGATTACCCAGAGACACACACACGCAAAATCCCGAAAATGGATTAGGTGTTCTGCCGTCGCATGTAGAAGAGGAGGTACGCCTTCTGCTTCAGGACGACGGGCGGGGTGGACAGCTTGACGCGGTCGTCGTTGAAGTGCCACCACTGGCCGCCCGATCGGCCGTAGGCTGTGTAGTGGCCGGAGGAGATTCTGAAATTGATAAAAATTAATTTTTAGATTTTAAACTTTTCACTTCCTCGCTAGAAATTTAAATTTTAACAAAATTACATTTTTAAGATATTTTAGACAGCATGGACTTTTTAAATTCATCATTTGCTTTACGACACACGATTTTTTAGATACTTGGTAATTTCGTAGCGTTTTTTAACAAAATTCAGACATTAAAATTTTCAAAAATGGTAAGGAAGATACTGATCAAAATACATCATATTTTTAAACCCTTTGGAAAATTCCTCATTCTAGTGAAATCGAAACTACAGATAGCCAACAAAGTAAACAAAAACTAGAAAATTGAACATTTTAGTTCAAAGACGCTTTGAAAAATAATGAAAAACAGCGCCAAAGTTCTAAAATTCCAAAAATTCAAGATTTGAAAAGACACAAAAAGAAAGATACCTTTCTTAGGTTTCGAATGCCAAAATTTAAAAACTAGTAAAATGCCTCTGAAATCCGAGAGTAATCGAAGAAAATGAATTCCTAGAAAAAGGCCGGATGAATTTTAATTCTAAAAAATCATGTTATTTTTCCAATCTTAGAAAAAGGAAATGCTAGCGCAAAACGTCAAAACTCTTCAATTTCGTGAGAATAATAAAAAAGCGCGAAAAGATCTGGGTTAAAAAAGACAATTTTTTAACCTAGATAGATGCCCAAATCTAAAATTTAAAATTCTAAAAAATAGAGGCAAAGCTTCGCGGGGAGAAAAATGCGCCCGAAATCGGAGAGATCTTAGAAAATGGATGAGCCGCAGCCGGGGAGGAGGAGGGGTGGACTCACCCTCCCCCTTCCTGGCCCAAAGCTGGATGGACAACGGGGGGAAGAAGAGGACCTATAAGCACACTCAGGCGGCCAATCAATGCCCGCTTGGGGATGGAGAATGGGGTGGGGGGGACACAACACAACCTCCCCCCTCCTATGTGGCCAAAGTGACCACGGCCAGTGTTTCGGAGTGAGGAGGAGCTCGAAGTCTACTCAGGTAACCAAGGAGTACGACTCTCATTTCAAGTCAAAAATTCCGAAAGTCACGCCATTGACTAGCCATTAGTATTGGAACGGAAAAGGTCAAAATTTCCCGAAAATCAGATAGCTTTAAAAACAATTTTTTTGGTAGCGCTACTTTAAGATTAAAAACTCTTATTTCTATTCCGTTTTTTCCTAGTTTTTAGATAACGTCGAAAACCACCCATTAGCATAACGGAAAATGAGCTAATTTAATTAATCGAACTTACTGAAATTTTAGTTAAATTTACATTTCCTTATTTTTACCGATTTAACAAAATTCAAGATGACGAAAATCTACCGTTCTCTTATCTAAAAACACTTAAAAATCAATTAAAATAAGAATGGAAAAGACGTCAATTGGACGATAAGTTTCTCAGAATTTCAATACCTATTTTTTTTTTGTTCAAATCTAGTTTTCTATTTTTTAACAATAGCAGGTTTAATTTTTCATATTGAAAAAGATGCTTGGAAAACCATTAGAACCAACTATTAGCACAAAAATAAAGAAATTTGGCAAAAATCAGGTACTACGGTAAGCGGCACAGTGAAAAAGCGCCAAAAAATTACCCCGATCCCTGATGGACGACGATGCTGCACAGATCGTAGACGTGCGACTCGCCGCGACCCTAAAAAACAACTTGAGAAATTTTTCAAAGAAAATTACCGTATTCGGCGCCATATAGGGCGTCATGTCGAGCCCTTCCAACGGGAAATCCACCATGTAGTCGAGCTTGCCGCGATGGCTGCCCCAGCGGAAACGCTTCAGGTGCAGGCAGAGCACCTAAAAACATAGAAATAAAAACCGGAAATGCTACTCACATTCGGCGTCGATTTTAGGAAAAGCTGCTTGGTGGAGGGGCGACGTTCGCCGCATCTAAAGGGAAAAGTAGGGGGATTCTTGGAAAATCGTGATTTTAAAAGTAATAATATCCAAAAAAATGTGTCGAAACTTGAAAATCTCGAATTTTCATGATTTAGAAATGTCGAAAATTCAAAATGTCGGCATTCCAATAGCTCAAAATTACGACATTTAGAGATTTTTCTATGCAATTTCGGGATTTCCGCGGATCGTAAACCTCAGCGCTGTGAAATGTCGACATTTCGAAAACCTGACACCACCTCAGTAACGGATTATTTTCAAAAATTTCGAAATTCGGAGTGCCGAAAACTCAATTTTTCGAGTCTCGAAATGTCGACACTTCAACCAATAACGGTTTTACGACAATTTGAGGCTTTATTTTAAACTCTCTATTACCTAGCGCACATGTACTGCTCGCAGTGGTCGAGCTCTTCCTTGGCGAAGAACTGCTCGAGGCAGTCGAACAGGGGCACGCAGTGGGACTTTTGAGGCGGGATGATCATCTCCAGGGATAGGTCTAAAAAGATTTTAGAGGCCGGCTTTCAATGCTTGCCTAGAAATGGGTCCTGTATGTTGCTGGCGGAGCGGCAGGTCAGGCAGATGACCTGGCTGAGGAGGGCGCCCTCGAAAAGTCGCGATATGGCCGATTCGGTGGCCCCCATGCTGGCGTTGCCGCATTGGCTTGCGAATCTGAAAAAAAAACATCTAAAATCGAGCTTTTCTTTTACTTTTCAGATTAAAATATTTAAGACAAAAGTCTTTAAGATTTTCAAGCCACTAGACAAAACTTTTTAAACTTAAAAAATTAATCACGCTGTTTAGCATTTCAAAAAAATCAAAATTTTACCTTCGCTCGACATCCTCTGGGATTCGGCACTTCCGCAAATCGCTGTGCACCTTGTCGAGCATCATCCGCAGAAACTCGTGCGAATCTTGCTGTTGGAAGCCCCTAAAACAAACAATTTAATTTTGCCCCAATTTTATACCGGAATCTCGGGTTCAGCCGCCAGACGGCCTGGAAGAACGAGTCGGGCTCGTGGCTATTCGCTCTGTGGTTGATGATCTCGTTGATCGTTTGGCGGAGCATCTCGGCGAAGATCCTAAAATTTAAAAATAAATTTTTTAGCTTTAAAACTGACGGGACAAGATGCTGTTGCGTGTTGTTGTCGGCGCTCTCGATTTGCGCGGTCGCCCTCCGCGTGTGGTAGAAGGGCTTCTTGGCCCGGAATTCTGACGGCGGCTCGATGGTGTCGGCCTCGAGGAGTGGCAGTGCGGCCATGAACTCGCGGAACCAGTCGATTGAACTGAAAATAAAAGATCTGCAACCTTTTAACGTTTGAAATCTCGTAAAATTTTACTAAACGCTTAAAAAGGCTTTCTTTGGCAATATAGGTGGGGTTACTTTTTTCTAAAGATCGAATTTTGCTACTATAAACAGAGGCAGTGCTTCTAAACTGTTTTTTAATACCCCTAAACGGAAAGACTGAACAAATTTTGATAAAATAACAAAAAAAATATAGATTTTCGACCAAAAATGGTTGATTTCGATTAAAATCTATCTATTTAAGTTATTTTTATCGTTTTTCGACTTTAAATGTAGTTAAATGTTGCCAAAAACACTAACAAAACCCATACTATTACGCCACTAGGCATTTCCGCCCTTATAGAAAAAGTTGATCCCCTCGATATGCGAAAAAATCATTTTGTTGAATACACGAAATTAAAAACAGCTTTTTTTCATAAATAAAACCGACGTCAGGGCCTGGAGCACGGCATTGACGAAGCAGGTGTTGCCCAGATTCGCCAGTCCGCGTCGCTTGAATTCCAAGTACGGCACATCACGATGCGCGGCCCCGTCGAGTGGGTTGATCGGTTGTGGGGAGATCTAAAAAGAAATAAATTTACAAAAACAACTCTAAATTACCTTTCTCTTCCGTGCTCTCAGCATATGGCCTCCTTTGACGACACATGGGCCGACCTTGCCGAGGGCGGGGGCCGAGGCGGAGATGTGAAGGGGCCCTTGTTTGACGGGAGGGGTGCGGATGGCCAGGCCGCCGATGGAGATGTCATCTTCTGGCACGGAAGCGCTTTCCTCGTCCACGACGAAAATTCTAAAAAAGGCTATAAAAAGGCTTTTTAAAACGCTAAAGAAAAATTATCTAAAACACCATTTTTAACGCAAAAATATAAGTTTTTATAGCGTAATCGTCCATTTTTTATGTCGTAAAAAATTAAAATTATTAAATTTCTCTAAATCCTTTATTTTTGTACTTAGAAATTTTAGTTTATTACTTTTTTATTTTGCCTGTTTTTTTGGGACCTACGCGGAATGCGGTGACGTAGAATGAACGACGCAGACATCCTCCTCCTCCGTCCCCTCCTCACCCTGCGAATCGAGCCCGTCTTCATAGGAATGATAGTTTAGCGAATATAAATGATCGGCGGCCCTAAATTTTTGCATTGATTAAAATTACTGTAACTTTATTTTGGCTTACCTTTTCAGTTTTTAAAGACTTTAGAGAAAGCGCACTCACCTTGCTTTGTTATACGTGCGCAGGGAGCGGCGCACCGAATCAATCTTGCTATCCTCGGTGTCGTCGCAGATGAACTCGTCACATTCGTAGCTACAAAAAATATAATTTAGAACAATAAAGGTACGCAAAATAGATTATCCCGCAGCGAAAAAATATAACTTTTCAAAATTGTAGTTTGTAGCCCGTACCCACCGTTCAAGGCGAAGCCGAAATAGCAGTAAATTCGACGAATTTTATAAAAAAATCGTGACATAGCTCCTCTCCAAATTTGGAAAATTTTCGAAATTGTAGTGTTCAATGATTTCAACGCGACTCGAAGTGAAGCAAAACAAAAATCCATCTTCCTCACCAAAAAACACTCGTATCGTTGCAGCTCATGGCGATGCAGTGGGACTTGTAGAGGCTGTAGTGCCGCAATGCATCTTGATTCTCGCTGCGGGAGCAGTGGATCAGGCCGCACGACAGGCACATCCATGGCTGGGCCCCGGCTCCGCACGCCACGCAGTTCCAGCGGTGATCACTGAAAGAAAACATGAGTTTTTGCCACGATATTTTTCTCGATTTTCACTCCTCCTTCACTTTTGTACGTTTATTGTATTCACAAAGCACTAGCACACTTACAATAACTTTTCTATACTTACAAACTAGTGTGCCTGATTTTTCAACAAATTTCAAACGAATGCCCGGCGTAAACACTTTTGATGACGTCAGTGCACAAACTACTAAATCAGTAGCCGGGTCAAATTCTACTAAAATCCTAGTCAAAACTCGGCAAAGCTACAACATCCACGCATTAAAAGTGCCTATATGCCCATCTTTGAAGAATTTTAGAAAGAACTCTCACAGTTTAGACTTTTGATGACGCCAGGGCACAGACTACCAAATCACTAGCTGAGTCAAATTCTACTCAAAACTATCCAAAACCCCTGGCCAAACTCATTTTAAGTTAGTCCCTCCAATTTTTACAAATTTTTTGACCGAACGCTCGGAGTCTACAATTTTGATGACGTCAGTGCACCAACTACTAAATCACGAGCTGGGTCAAATCCTGCCAAAAACTACGCAAAACTTTTCACTAAACGAATTTCTAGTTAATATCTTCCGATTTTCAAACAATTTTCCACCGAACAGGGGGAGTTTAGACTTTTGGTGACGTCAGTGCACAAACTACTAAACCAAAATTCTACCGCCAACATCACAATTTCCCCATTTTCAACCCTCCAACCAATCCCATCCACTTTTTCGAGCTCTCCCACCAATATTGTGGATGGCTATCGATTGGGGAGGCCGGGGGCGGGGGGTGGCTAACTTGCCTGTTCTCGTCGTCGCGAGGGCGTTGCAGGCTTCGCCGTGGCCGACTTCTCGCGTCCCCTAGCTTCACCTTCAGCTGCTCAAGGTTGACTTGAGCGATGCAAACATTGCTCAGATGCCCACATGCCATATAGCTAAACGTGAGGGCTTGAAAAACACGTGTGATCAAAGTATGGTGAAGCGAGGGAGAGCGCGGAAGGCGACCGGGTAACTTTTCAGGCCCTGCCGGATACATAAATAAGTTTTCCGATGGATTTAACAAAAATATTCACATTTTATTACTTATTCTTTGTGTAAAACGGACCCAATAAAGCATATAACCGGCCGGTGGCGCTACGTTTGGCTACTTGCCAGCTCGCGTGTTTCCCCTGGTCCCGCGGCGGGGATCGTAAGCCCGGCGGTGAACACCTTTCAGCATTTCCTCTGCGCAGCCGTCTCTCTCCCTTTTCAAGTGAAAAACCGAAACTTTTAGTGTTATTTAGGTTTCTGTTTTCCGTTTCGTTGTTTTTCACGATTCTCCAACTGTTCCACCTTTTCAGGGTTATCCGCTACATCTGCAAGGATGAAGCTGCTTGTGTCGTACCCGGCGACGGGCCAGAACAAGGTTTTCGAGATCGAAGATGAGAAGCGAGTGCGCCCGTTCTACGAGAAGCGCATGGCCCAGGAAGTCGAGGCCGATTCCCTCGGAGACGAGTGGAAGGTAAATTCATTTATTTCGGGCGGTATTTACGTTCTGTTTAGGGATACGTTGTCCGAATCACCGGAGGCAACGACAAACAAGGCTTCCCCATGATGCAGGGAGTGCTCACCAACGGACGTGTCCGACTACTCCTGAAGAAGGGCCAGAAGTGCTACCGCCAGCGACGAACTGGCGAGCGCAAGAGGAAGTCCGTCCGTGGATGCATCGTTGACCAGAACCTGTCCATCCTCAACCTCGTCGTCGTCAAGAAAGGTTTGTTGCTCTTGTTTTTTCATCAATTCCCTTTTAGGTGACGCTGATATCGAGGGCCTCACCGACACCGTCATCCCCCGCGTGAAGGGACCCAAGCGCGCCAGCAAGATCCGCAAGCTTTTCAACCTCGAGAAGGATGATGATGTCCGCAAGTACGTCATCCGCCACGACAAGGTCCTCAAAAACGGTACGTTTGTTTATTCATCCTGCTCGCTATTGGCTCTGACAACCGCTGTGTAATCTAGCTAGTTTTTTTGCCCGTGCTCGCGTCCCTATGCCCATTTTTTTTAGGCAAGACTCGCTCCGTCGCCCCGAAGATTCAACGCCTCATCACCCCCCGTGTCCTCCAGCACCGCCGCCAAATCCGCTCCCACCGACTGAAGCAACAACAGAAGGAGAAGGACGCGCGCAAGGCCTACGAAGTCGTCCTCGCCAAGTACCGTGCCGAGCAGAAGGAGCGCAGGAAGTCCGGCAGCAGGTCGTCCATCTCCAAGAAATAAATGTTTGTTCTTGTTATATAAATTGTTGAAATGTCTTTTTGGCTAATTGCACTTGTCATAAATTTTTTAGTATTACTTGTGTGAAGACATAATTCAAGTACACATTGAAGCGCGATTGCGGTTGATACAGAGACACTGCGGGTTTGCATGGATGGTCGTTTGAGCGATGGCGGTATAGCGGTGAAGCTTTGTAAAGATTGCGTAGTGATCAAAGTGCGCGCTTACTTAATTTTTCGTAAGAGTTGTATCGTGAAGCGCTTGGTACAAGGACATTGTTTTGCGCAGGATGCAGTTTGAAGCGTGGTCTTGAAGCTGGGCTTGAGATTTCGGAAGCAGCAGTCTAGTCAAAAGCCTCGTGGTTACCGAAGTACACCCACAAGTTGTTTTTACAAGCGCCAGCCAGACCGTCAGCATTTCCTGAAAGGGTCGTCAATTGATCGCGCCGGGTCGTTGGGCATCTAGTTTGTGCGAAGAGGCCCCTATCAGCCGATTAGATATTACAGGGATGGCTGCCGGCGGGCATCCGCGATGCCTCTGGGTTTGATTTTTGTTGGTTTATCAGATCGGGAACGAATCGACAACCACATCATTCGGATGTAGCGAGTCTGCTTTCTGCATTGTGGTTGTAGCTAGCCGGACACTACTGGTCGTTCGGTATTCATTCGTCTTCGATTCTTTGGTGCTTTTCTGCACTTTTTTGTTGTTTCCGACTGGTTTTCTATCTTTTATAAAGCCAACATAACGCGCTATTTTCTGTTTTTTTTTGTGCTAGTCTCATTTGTGGGAATAGTATTAAGCTTATTGTTTAAAGCAAGTCAAATGGGTCGGCAAACGGCCGAGGAATCGGCCCCTTTACTTGATGCTGCTCGCAAGTTGAGTCAATATGGGAGTGAGGCCAGGTAAGGAAGGAGATTTTTTAAGGAAACCGGGCTACTTTTCAAATCTTTCTTGATCATCTCCTCATCTATTTAGTCTCGGCTCTTTTCGGGAGCACCAGACGTCGAAGCACACTAGTTATAAGTTGGTAAGTGGGATTAATTGATCGATAAATCCTACTATTTTTAGTGGCACTTCGCAACCGGCTATGATTACCTACTGTTTGGGATCGGCGCCTTGTCCTCGTTCATCCACGGCGCTGGGTTTCCGCTTTTGGCCATTGTTTTGGGTAAGAAATTAAACGTCAAAAATAAAATCGTAGATATAATTAAAGTATTAGGACCTTAGAGCTGTTTAATATAGTTAATTTAGAGCTTAAAAGGTTAAAAAACCTAAAAACAAAGCCCCAATTTTCTAGGCGGCATGACGACCGTCTTCCTACAAGCGCAAAACTCGGAATTCGTCGTCGGGCCCGGAAATGTGGATCCGCAGGGCATGCCCGGGATTACGAGGTTTGAAATGAGGAGAAGCGGAATGAAGCCTGGTTTTTTAGAGAGGCATTTGACGCGCAAGTGGTCACGTTCTGCATCTACTATCTGGCGCTGGGGGCGTTGATGTTCGTCACTTCTTATATACAGGTAATTAGTAAAATTGATTGACTTGTAATTCCGAGCTTCAAAAGTAAGCTAGCTAAGTAAGCTTAGCGCTGGATTTCAAAACTAGCCATTTGCAAGCCAAGAATAAGTCAAAATTAGCTCCGACTTCGGTTTCAAAAGTAAGCTAGGAAAGCCTACGCCTTTCGAAGCTAGCTTTTTGTAGGTCAAGAATACGCTTGGAAGCTGAAGTCAAAACTTATAAGCGTATCCACATGAGCTTAAAGTGGCTCAAAACTAGCTCTAGAACCTTCAAAAAGTCAAGTAAACGTTAAGATAAGCCAACTTTAAAAAAAGCTTTAAAATAAAGTAGCTAAGTCAGCTTGTCCAGCTTCATTCCCCCTTTCTAGATCGCCTGCATGGAGTCGTTCGCCGAGCGGATGGTGCACCAGCTACGTCAAAACTACTTGAAAGCAATCCTTAGGTAATCTAGAATTCAAAACCCCTTTAGAAGATATCTTTAGACAACAAGTCGCCTGGTTCGACGAGCAGTCCACCGGCCAGCTGACGGCCAGGCTTACCGAGTAAGTCGGCTTTGTCGACTTACTCGACTAGAAATCGAAGAAGCTACCTAGCCTAACTTGTACAGAATTTTGCGCTGATTCCGAATCTTGCTGCAGAATTGGCTAAATATTTCAATTTAAAAAGTTACAGCAATTTTCGAATAAAAAATCTCAAAAATTCCAATTTTTTTGCCCTAAAATCTCTTGTAACTTCACAAATCTCGTCATTTCGAAAATTCTGAAGCCTTATTCAGGATCACCGCAAAATTCTGTACAAAATAGACCTAATGACGCCTCAAGATTACGGTATCCTATCCACTTTTTAGCGATCTCGAGCGAGTGCGCGAGGGCCTGGGGGACAAGTTGTCCCTTTTCGTCCAAATGTCGGCAGCGTTTGCTTCCGGCTTTATCGTCGGTGGGTATTTCAAATGCTATGAATTCCGCTACAATACTCTGGACATACGCCTTTTCCGGATTTTCTAAAGTTTTAGAATTCCGCGAAGCTAAAAATAGGACTATCCTACAAAGCCTAAGACAAGCTTAAGCAAAAGATAAGCGAAGCTAAGCTCAAGCCCAACCTAAGCCTGAGCCCACGCCCAAGCCAAGGCAAGCTAAGCCTAAGCCCCTTTTTAGGCTTCATGTACTCGTGGCAGATGACGTTAGTCATGATGGCTTTCGCTCCTTTCATCGTAATTTCTGGCGCATGGATGAGTAAAATGGCGGCCAGTCGGTAAGTAAGCTACAGTAACTTTGAAGTATCCGCTTCAGGACCCACGTCGAGCAAGAAACGTACGCAGTGGCTGGAGGGATTGCGGAGGAGACATTCGGATCGATTCGTACTGTGCATTCGCTTAATGGACACAAAAGGCAGATGACTAGGTGGGTAGCGAGCAGAGATTTTGAGGAAAGGGCAGACTAGCAGAGATTCCTTAGGAAAAGGGCAGTCTAGCAGAGGTTTTTGAGGAATGGGCAGGCTAGCAGAGATTCTTTGCGAATCTGCAAAATTTTTGACGGCAACCTAGCCGTGCTTTTTTCAGAATCTCTCGACTATTTTTAGAGCGGGCTAGCATAGATTCTTTGGGAGCCGGTCTAATTCTGCGAGGGCAAGCTAGCGAAGATTCTTTACTACACCCAGACTCCACAATCCCCTTAAAATCTCCAGATTCGAAGCCGCCCTTGAAATCGGCCGAAAAACCGGGCTCGTCAAGTACTTCTACATGGGACTGTGCGTGGGCTTCTCGAATATCTGCATGTACGGCTCGTATGCGCTGGCATTTTGGTACGGTAGCCGGATTATTATCGGGGATCCGACGTACGATCGAGGAACTATCTTTACGGTAAGTCTATGAAGCAAAAAGCGCAATCCTAAGTCTAAGCCAAGCCTAAGCTAAGCCAAAGCCTGGTACTAACAAGGAGACGTTTTTGAGTGTCGTTGGGACTTTGGCACGGGATCAAGCCTATCTTGTGCAGAATTTTACGCTGATTCCGAATATGGTAACCGTTTTTGCGGAATAGCCATTTCTCGAAAGTTATGAACGATTTAAACCTCAAAACAGCCCAAAATCGGCTACTTCCGATAGTCATAAAAGGCTTCGGAATAGGTTTTAGACAAAACTTAATAGTGCATCTTGTTCAGAAAAAATTCTCTATAAAATCAGCTACTTAACTCAAAAATTCTGGAATTTTGAAAATTTTTGTAAAATTATGGACCTCCCAATTTATCAAATTTTTCCAACTTTTTACTGATTTTGGAAAAGATGGTACATTTTATAGAGAATTTTTTTCTGAACAAGATGCACTATCTGGTTTTGTCTAAAACCTATTTTGAAGCCTTTTATGATTATTTAAAGTAGCCGATTTTGGGCTGTTTTGAGGTTTAAATCGTTCATAACTTTTGAGAAATGGCTATTCCGCAAAAACGGTTGCCATATTCGGAATCAGCGTAAAATTCTGCACAAGATAGGCTTGGTCCCATGCCAAAGTCCTGACGACACTTAAAAACGTCTCCTTGTAAGCCAAAGCCTAAGCCTAATCCTAAGCTAAGCCTAAGCTTAAGCCAAGCCTAAGCCAAAGCCTAAGCCTAAGCCCAAGCTAAGCCTAAGCCTAAACCTAAGCCTAAAAGCCCGATTCTAGGTGTTCTTCTCCGTGATGTCCGGCTCAACAGCCCTCGGCGGAGCTCTACCCCACCTCGGCTCAATCGCCATGGCCATGGGAGCGGCGCGTAGTGTACTCAAGGTTTTGAATACGGTAGGCTACGCAATACAGCAAATTACGATAAATTCTAGACCCCATATATCGACCCGTACTCGACGGAGGGTACGGTATTGACGGAAATGAAGGGATCTATTGAGGTCGAGAATGTGCACTTCAGATACCCGAGTCGGAGGGATATTCCGGTGGGTAACTAGCAGAGGTTCTTGAGGAACGGGCAGGCTAGCAGAGTTTCTCTGAGGAAACCTTGTAAAAATAATAAACCTAGATCCTTCGAGGTGTATCCATCTCCGTCCAACCCGGCCAACAAATCGCCCTTGTCGGCGCTTCCGGATGCGGAAAATCGACAATTATCAACCTGCTGCTCCGATATTACGACCCCAACAAGGGAAAGGTACAAAGAAAGGCAGGCTGGCGGAGATTCTTTAGGAAATTGGGCTAGCTAGCAAAAACCATTTGCCGTTTAGATAACGCTGGACGGGGTCGACTTGCGTGACCTGAACGTGAAAGCGCTGCGAGACCAGATTGGGGTTGTTTCACAGGTTAGCGGTTAAGATCCTCTCCCTCTCTCTCACTCTCTCTCTCTCTCTCTCTCTCTCTCTCGCTCTCTCACTCTCTCACTCTCTCTATCTCTATCTCTTAGGAGCCAATTCTGTTCGACGGAACCCTCTACGAGAACATTCGCATGGGAAATGAGAATGCGGGGCAAGAAGATGTCATGAATGCGTGTAAACAGGTGCGTAGCGGAGGTTCTTGTGGAATTGGTGACACGCCCCCTTTAGGAGGGTTTAAAGGGGTGGTAAAGGCATGGCTATGGATATTTAAGTCCTGGATTGGCTCGAAATTTTAAGCGTCGCTGCACGGCAAAATCTATAGCAAAATTCATAACCAAAAAAAAAAATCGGTATTTTTTGCCTTTCCAGTCCCTTTAAAAGCTACAGCACGGAATTCTTGGCCACCTTAAAAGGGTCTAATCGATTACGCTATGGAATAGCCAGAGCGTGCGCTGCGTGTTGTGGCGCGGCAAAATCCAAAACAAAATGCATAGCCAAAAAATCGGTATTTTTTTGCCTTCCCAGTCCCTTTAAAAGCCTTCAAAAAGCATAAATTCTAGGCAAACGCCCTCGAGTTCATCAAGCGACTCCCCGACGGCCTTGCAACAAGAGTAGGAGAGCGAGGAGTACAGCTCAGTGGAGGTAACCTGCTCACGGTAGCCCCAATCCAGTATGTACAGGCCAAAAACAACGCATCGCCATCGCGCGCGCCTTGGTGAAAAACCCCAAGCTCCTGCTCCTTGATGAGGCCACTTCGGCTTTGGACACGGAGAGTGAGCAAGAGGTTCAACATGCGCTTGATAAGGTCAGGCTCCTGTCATAATCCCTTGAAAACTAGAGAAAATCTAGGCAATGCATGGTCGTACGACAATTATTGTGGCTCATCGGCTATCGACGATTCGGAATTGCGATCGAATTTTTGTGTTTAAGGTGAGAGAGAGAGAGAGAGAGGGGGAGAGAGAGGCAGAGAAAGAGTGAAAGAGAGAGAAGGGGAGAGAGAGTGAGATCGAGTGAGAGCGTGAGAACGAGTGCGAGTGAGAGCGCTAGACAAAAACAGCGAGAGAGAGAGAGAGAGAGCGCGAGAGAGTGAGAGAGAGAGGCAGAGAAAGAGGGAAAGAGAGAGAAGGGGAGAGAGAGTGAGATCGAGTGAGAGCGTGAGAACGAGTGCGAGTGCGAGCGCTAGACAGAAACAGCGAGAGAGAGAGAGAGAGAGAGAGAGAGAGAGCGAGAGAGACAGTGATAGAGAGAACCAAAAGTTTTCTAGGACGGCCGCATCGTCGAGCACGGTACCCATGAAGAATTAATGGATGCCCACGGCATGTTCCACGAAATGACGCAACAGCAAAAGCTCAAGGCCCAGGAGGTCGCCAAATTTGCGGCTGGTGGGTTACGCTAGCTCATATTATACTAAAGCACGTGATAAAAGCGCGCGCATTAATGGAAAACCGATAAAATGAAGGATTTCTGCTAGGTTGTCCAAAAAAAAATCACCAAAAAATCTCTGCTAGCATGCCCGGTGACCCTTGAATCTAGAAAAATCGCGAAAACGCCTAGAGATTTGTAAACTTGCTGCTGAATCCTAATCTCTGCTAGCTCCCGCCCAAGATGCTGAAGCGTGAATTTCCCAAAGAATCCCTGCTAGCTTGCCTTTTTTCTAACCACTCTTTTCTTTCGCTATTCCCCAAGAATCTCTGCAATCTCACCAAAATCTTGAAAATGCCAGGGAGCATTAATGATCGCCAGCTTACGAGCCGTTTAGACCTCGACGACCGGGAGACGTGCGACGTCATGTCGCACGCTGGGTCGGTTAGATCAAGAAAATCATCGACGGTTGGTTTCTTCTAAAAATGTCTATTAATGCTCCTTCTAGGCTCAAGCAGCTCGTAAGAAATCTACAGTAGCCGGCACCAGTGTGGTCAGCCGATCGATCAGCACCATCAAGGAGATGCAGGATGATGCGGATGTAAGCCAGATTTTAAGTGGAGGCAGGCTAGCAGAGATTCCTTAGGAAAGCGCAGGCTAGCAGAGATCTAGCTGGAATTTCAGGAAGCCCGCGTGAAGCCGACACCCATCTCAAAAATCTTTGCCACCAACCGCGAGAACTGGGGCTTCTTCGCCCTCGGGCTACTCGGCAGTACGCTGTCCGGTCTGGTGACGCCCGTCTTTGCCCTCGTCTACGCACAGATTTTTGCGGTACGTCAAGTGGGAGCAGTCCAGACAAAGCACTATCTTGGGTTTTCATCCTAAAGCCCAAATTACCTCTAACGCAAGTTAGAAGCTTTCTGCTCGGTTAAGCTAGCTTCAAAAGCTTAAAAACCGTGAAAATACCGAATTTCTGGATACTTTGAAGCCTTCCGGCCAAATTAAAGCCAACCTTTTAGGTGTTCACCCTTCCACCGGACCAAATCGGCAGCGAGGCCTTGTTTTGGTGCGCCATGTTTCTAATTATGGGTGTCGTGCACGCGCTTGGATTTTTCCTATCGGTAGGTTTACGGTAGTTTTGAGCGTATTGTAGCGTCCAAACTATAAAAAATGCCTTAAAAATTCCCCAAAGAACACTGCTAGCCTGCCCCATTTCTAGGCGAACACGCTCGGCCGTTGCGGGGAGGGGCTGACGAAAAAGTTGCGGATGATGGCGTTTACAAATTTGATGAGGCAGGATGTTGGGTGAGTTCGCTCACTCTCTCTCTCTCTCTCTCTCTCTCTCTCTCTCTTTCTAGCCATGATTTCCAGATTCTACGACGATCTCCGGCATGGTACCGGAAAATTATGCACCCGATTTGCGACTGACGCGCCAAATGTTCGATATGTAAGTCAGAGAGAGAGGGAGAGAGAGAGAGAGAGAGAGAGAGAGCGAGAGAGAAAAAGAGAGAGAGGGCGACATAGAGAAAGCGAGAGAGACACATAAAGAGCGAGATAGCTAGAGAAGACAAAGAGTAGAGAGGAGAGAGAGAGAGTGAAAGTGAGAGAGAGCAACAGTTGGACACCGACTTCTAGGTGTTCACCCGTCTCCCAATCGTCGTCTCCTCCGTCGTCACGATCGGCGGTGCCATCGTGGTCGGGCTAATTTTTGGGTGGAAGTTGGCGCTGATTCTCGTCTTCATCGTCCCTTTAATCATCCTCTCCGGCTATTTCGAGATGAAGATGCAGGTAAAATAGATTCCACCATAATCTCTGCTAGCCTGCCTTTTCCTAAATAATCTCTGCTAGCCTCCAACTCCTCAAAAATCCCAATTTTCAGTTCGGCAAAAAGATGCGCGACACTGAACTGCTTGAGGAGGCCGGGAAGGTGGCCGGAGAGGTAGGAGGAAATCCAATTAGTCTCCAGAATTCAAAAAATTCAGGCCGTCGAGCACATCCGGACCGTACAGGCACTGAACAGGCAGGAGAAGTTCCACTTCTTGTACTGCGAATACTTGAGGGAGCCGTACAAGTGGGTGAATTAGAGAGAGAGAGAGAGAGTGAGAGAGAGAGTGAGAGAGTGAGCGATAGAAAGAGGGGGGAGCGACGCCGTTTTAAAGGAATCGGCAAGGCAAATCCACAATTTTCAGAGAAAACATGTGCCAAGCCCACACCTACGGCGCGGTGTTCGCCTTCTCCCAGTCCATCATCTTCTTCATGTACGCCCTGGCCTTCTGGCTTGGGGCAAAATTTGTGGATGACGGATCTATGGCCCCGGCGGATGTGTATCGGTACGAGAATTCCCAATTTATCTCTGCTAGCAACCCTTTCCTAAAGAATCTCGGCTAGCCTGCCCCCTTCCTAAAGAATCTCGGCTAGCCTGCCCTTTTTAGCGTATTCTTCGCGTTCGCCTTCTGCGGCCAGATGGTGGGCAACGTCTCGTCGTTCATCCCCGACATCGTCAAGGCCAGGCTGGCAGCTTCGCTACTTTTCTACCTCATTGAACACCCCACCGAAATCGACAATCTATCGGAAGCTGGCATCAAGAAGGTGAGAGAGAGAGAGCGAGAGAGATTGAGGGATAGAGAGAGAGAGAGAGAGAGAGAGAGAGAGAGAGAGAGAAATCCCTATTCCAGACCCTCGAAGGCAACATCTCATTCCGGAATCTCCACTTCAGCTACCCCACCCGCCGTAATATCCGGGTCCTCAACGGGCTGAGCCTCGACATCAAGAGGGTATGATCATCTACCAGAATTTTTACTGTCTCCACCCCTTTAGGGACAGACCGTGGCCCTGGTGGGGCATTCGGGATGCGGAAAGAGTACTGTGATGGCGATTCTGGAGCGATTCTACAACTCTTCGAAGGGATTTGTGGTAGGCATCTAGCAGAGACTCTTTAGGAAATGGGGGCTAGCAGAGATTTTTAGGAACGCAAAAATTTAGATGCTGGACGGTGAAAACATCCGAAACGTACATATCAAGTCGCTGCGTGAGCAGGTGTGCATCGTATCGCAGGAACCGACACTTTTCGACTGTTCAATTGCGGAAAATATCACTTATGGACTGGACAGGTCAGTTTATGTCACTGTCTCTCACTCACACTCGCCTCTCTCTCTTGCTCTCTCTCTCTCTCTCTCTCTCTCTCTCTATCTAGCTCTCTCGCTGTTTTCTCCCCCTCGCTTGACTAAGCAAACCTGCAGAGGAACGTGAGGAATAAAAAGTGAGATGCTGGCTAGCAGAGGTTCTTTGAGAATTTCCCATTTTCGCTGGAATTGGGCAAGCTAGCGGTAATTCTTTGAGAAAAACGGGGCTCACTCTCTCGCTCTCAGCTCTCTCTCTCTCTCTCTCGCGCGCGTGCTCTCTCTCTCTACCCTCTCGCTTTAGACAAGTCCCCTACGATGACATCGTCGAGGCTGCCAAGCTGGCCAACATCCACACGTTTATCCTGGGACTTCCAAACGTAAGATGGCGTATTTTTGAGGGCAAGCTAGCAGAAATAATTTGAGGAAATTGGCCATCTACAGTAACCCCCAATTTTTAGGGCTACGATACCCGAGTCGGCGAGCGTGGTACACAACTTTCCGGAGGTCAAAAGCAGCGGATAGCCATCGCCCGAGCCCTTGTCCGCCGCCCAATAATTCTACTACTTGATGAAGCCACCTCAGCACTTGACACACAATCCGAAAAGGTATGGAAATGACTTGACTGGCCTTTTAACGGGCTTTTAAGGTGGTGCAAGAGGCGCTGGAAACGGCGAGACAGGGCAGGACGTGTCTTGTCATTGCTCATCGACTATCTACTGTCCAGAATGCTGATGTCATCGCTGTGGTCAATGAGGGAGCCATTGTTGATAAGGGTAAGCTGGCAGAGATTATTTAGGCAAGAGCAGGCCAGCAGCGATTCTTTGGAAAAGGGGTTCTTTCGTATTATCGGGGGGGGGGGGGAAGAGATTTATTCTTTTCTTAGGAACCAAATTCAAATCCTTTCGTAAAATTTTTACAATATAAATAGCGGAAGTCTTTCAAAACTGCTTTTAGCTAATTTATTAACTAACTTTAAATAAAAACTTTACAAAATATTAATTTTTCAACCGTTCTAAATAGAATTTTCTAATTAGCTTCCCCCCGATAATGCGATAGAACCGGAAAGGACGTACTACGAGAGATTCTTGATTCTACAGTACCCCAATTTTTATAGGAACCCACGAGCAACTGATCAAAACCAGTGACATCTACCGTAAGCTATGCGAGACGCAACGACTCGTCGAGACGGAGTGATGCGGAATTTTCGAGAATTATGCAATTTTTTGTGTATTTTTTGCATATCCAATTACGGTGTGTGTATTTTCCAATGTGGAGAGATTATCCGAAAAGTGTGCTAGTGAATAAAAATTAAAAAATTACTGAAATTACCTATAAACACCACAAAGAGTCTTTGCTAGCCTGCCCTTTCCTAAAGAATCTCTGCTAGCCTGCCTTTTCCTAAAGAATCTCTGCTAGCCTGTCCTTTCCTAAAGAATCTCTGCTAGCCTGCCCTTTCCTAAAGAATCCCTGCTAGCCTGCCTTTTCCTAAAGAATCTCTGCTAGCCTGCCTTTTCCTAAAGAATCTCTGCTAGCCTGCCCTTTCCTAAAGAATCTCTGCTAGCCTGCCCTTTCCTAAAGAATCTCTGCTAGCCTGCCCTTTCCTAAAGAATCTCTGATAGCCTGCCCTCTGTTCCATCACTCAACCCCCCGATCGATGAGGCCAATTTCTGGTTGGGTTGAATTCTGGGTTGCGGGCCCCGGGGTGGGGCTCTGAGGGCTTGAGTATTTGCTTTGCGGGCTGGCTGTTCCCCCCGTATGCAAATTTCGACATTCTTTCGGGCCGTTCTACCCCTCCCAGTCCCATCCCCCCCCTCCTAGACTGACTGTACGACCTTTCAACTGTTTGGCCCCCAAATTGGCGGCTAATTAATTGCTACAGGACGTTCATTGTTTATTGCAAAAAACGGTTCTGAATTTGCTTTCCTCAAAGAATCACTGCTCGCTGACCTTTCCTAAAGAATCTCCGCTAGTTTCTCAACGCTGGATTCCTCCATTTTCTCTGCAAGCCTGCCTTATTTCAGACAAATCGTTCTCTAATGGTCTCTGCTAGCTGGCATGTCTCTATTAAAGGGACGAGCAAGGGATAGGAATGGACGAGAGAGCCGGAGAGAGAGTGAGAGAGGGAGCGAGAGAGAGAGGGCGAGAAAGCGAGAGTGAGCTAGCGAGAGAGAGAGAGAGAGAGAGAGAGTAAGAAGGAGAGAAACAGAGCGAGCGAGAGATAAATCCGTGCCATTTTCCGCAAAGAATAACTGCTAGCTTGCTTAAATCCAGAGAAACAGCGGCTTCCCAAAGAATCTCAGCTAGACTATCACCTTTTACTTCCACAAGTCTTCTTTTTGCCTTGCCGTCTGCACCTCAAATTGTCCCTGCTAGCTGGCCCGATCGTTAGAAAAGGCAGGCTGTCAGAGATTCTTTAGGAAATGGGGCAGGATAGCAGAGATCCTGTCGCTCCCCCTTTAAAGTCCCATCATGCCGCCCGATTATCCTGAGATCTTCCTACCCGGCGGGCACGTTCTGGTGTCCGCATCGAGTGTGTCGCTCCCTCTCTCTCTCTCTCTCCCTCTCTCTCTCTCTCCGCTTCATCGTTCCATCTGTGTTTGTCTCTGCTTGGCCCAAGTCGGGAATGTTTGCCCACAGCTTCGACCAGTGGTGCCCCAAACAGAGCCCCCCACCACCACCACAACCACCACCGCCAAGCGGGAGGGGGGACACTCTGAGACTCTGAACACTGATAAAGACCCGCCACGCCCTCTCTCTCACTCTCTCTCTCGCTTTCTCTCTCACCGGCTACCACGGAACATCACCACCCAAACATAACATCCCTACCGAAATTACCATACTTTACTGTGTCTCTAGAGCTCGAGGCAGGCTAGCAGAGATCTTTGAGGATATTAGAAGCACCTGACGGTGGTCTTCTGTAAATCTATCTGCTTCTCGCTTGCCCTCTCGCTCGCTCTCTCTCTCTCCCTCTCTCGCTCTCTCTGTCCATCTTTTCCATAAGCGAGCTAGCAAAGATCTTGCAGGAAATTTCTCTAGCTGCCTATACGTCTCTCCCTTGCTCTTCTCTCGCCTACCTCTCGCTCCCCAGCGGGCAGGCTAGCAGAGATCTTTAGGACTACATTCTTATTTTGTGCACCAATTAGCATGTCTCGCGCTTTCTCCCCCCTCTCTCTCACTCTCTCTCGCCCCTAGCCCCCTACCGACCCCAGGAAAGCTAGCAGAGATCCTCGCGGAACATTTGCAAACCCTCAAATCCTCAATTCTCTCTCAGCCAGTCTACCTTCCTCAAAAGCTATTTCCGGGCCAGATTCGCCCCTATCGACGCCACCAAGGATTCAGATTTCAATTCCGGAAGCCGAAACATGGGTGATATTTGTCATGCCATTTCAGCATGAACCGGCTGACTTCCGGAAATTTGAGGTTTTTCTATTGTTTATTTTTGGGTAGCGAAACCCCCCGAAAAATTCCAGAAAACTAAAAAGCCTGCTAGCCGCGATTCTTTAGAAAAGGGCATGCTAGCAGCGATTCTTTAGGAAAAAGCAGGCTAGCAGAGATCCCTAGACCTCCCTTCAATACCCCTTTAAAACCACTCCTAATCGAAACACCCCCCTGCGGTCACTACATATTGCCAACCGACATGCATAGTACCTGCCCGAGGTGTGTGTCCCCCCTTGGGCCATGACTCATGTTTTGTTTGCCCATGGGCCCGCCGATCCCCCTTCCTGACTCTTGCTCTCTATCTCTGCCGCTCTCTCTCTCTCTCTCTCTCTCTCTCTCTGTCACTCTCACTTCCCGCCGGTCGTCTGAGATGAAGATCGATTCCGGATGGATTCCGATCCTGATTCTGGTGGACTTACGAATCCTAAGATTTTCCTCTAGCTTCAGTGGTCCTTTAAAGCGGCTAGAAAGTTTGAAAAACGACCCATTGAATCTACTGGGTGTCGACAGTTACACGATACTCCAAATGACACCTTGAAATCTCGTGCTTTTTGCTCATGAAAGTCAATTCAAGCTCAATTACGCGTGTCATTTGGCTGGCAAAGTAGCTGTCGACACCCAGGCTAATGACGGGGTCGTTTAGCATGCTTCCAAGTCCCTTTAAAGGGCCCAAGAAGTCGGGGTTAAGGAGAATCGGTCGAAGCGGTCGATATCGGCCTCGGAAAGTTCCTGCATTTTATTTCCTAAATAAACTCCGCTAGCCTGCCCTTTCCTAAAGAATCTCTGCTAGCCGGTTTTCCTCAAGAATCTCTGCTAGCCTGCCCCGTGAACTGACTTCTCAAAATCCCTTGACTCATGCTCCTTTCCCCACCTTGGCCTTATCACTACCCCGATTTTTATGGCCGCTTCCGAGATTAGCAGTCAGGACCCCCCGGTCGTGACCGTCGAAATATCGACTTGGAAGTGTTGTTGTTTAGGATCGGAATTTTATCTCTTCACCGTCAGAATGCCACATGAATGGAACCAAACCTACAAATCACTTCTCAAAGAATCTCTGCCAGCTTGCCCCCTCATAATTTGAATTCTGACCGACGCTTAACTTCGTCTAGCTTCAACATTCATTTAAAGCTCGGAATTTGCGACTTTTGGCCAATTTCCGGTCCGTTTCTGGCGTGAGAAGTCATAATAAAACCTCCTAAAAATAAATAAATAAAAAGTCATAGAATTTAATTTATTACATTTAATTATTTATAAGTGATATATACGTATTATAAATTCTATAAGTCCTTAACCAGTTATTCCGCTTTGCTCCTCTTGACGACAACAAGCCGAAACTAATGCGCTCCGTTCCCCGAAATTCGCTTTGAATTTTCGGCGAAATTTTCGGCGTCGCAGGAACGTTCGGGTGTTCCCGATATTCCCGATATTCCCAGCCGTTTCTCCCCCCGACCGATGCCCAGATCGGGGCCCTCTTTGGCTTCTTCCGCTTCTTCTTCTCTCCTCCTGCCGGGGGTGTGATGAATCAGATGGTTCTGATTCGATATTCCGCCACACGCTACACCTCACATACCTGCTGCCCTGCTGCCCCGGCAAATTCCATCCCCATCCCCTGTACGATCATCGATTTTGGCGGGCGCGTTTCTTGGCAACCAGCCTCGTTTCTTGAAGAATCTCAGCTAGCCTCCCCATTTCCCAAAGAATCTCTGCTAGCCTGCCCTTTCCTAAAGAATCTCTGCTAGCATGCCCTTTCCTAAAGAATCTCTGCTAGCCTGCCCTTTCCTAAAGAATATCTGTTAGCCTGCCCTTTCCTAAAGAATCTCTGCTAGCCTGCCCTTTCCTAAAGAATCTCTGCTAGCCTGCCCTTTCCTAAAGAATCTCTGCTAGCCTGCCCTTTCCTAAAGAATCTCTGCTAGCCTGCCCTTTCCTAAAGAATCTCTGCTAGCCTGCCCTTTCCTAAAGAATCCCTGCTGGCATCCCATTCCTCAAGAATCTCTGCAAAACCATGACTCACCCAAAATATTTCCAAATATTTGCATAGGATTCATGCCACTGTGACTCATTGAAGTTGGCCCGTTTTCGGGCATCGATCTGTTCCCCCTGTGTGGCTTATCAGTGAAGCCTCCCTCCTCCTTCTCCCCCTTGGCCACCCCCAACGGATTTCTACGGCTTGTACGACTCACTTAGTCATCTGGTGGTCAATGCCAAATTTTACTGCTTCGTTTTGTTTTTTGAACATCTACTGATTTCTCAGAGTCTAATTGCTGGAATTCTAGGAATATTATACAAATTTCCTGGCTTTCATAGGCCTTTAAAGGGGCTAGAAAGCTAAAGAATCGAGGATTTTTGGCGACTAGGTCTCGACAACTACATGATGCACCAAATTACGCTCCTCAGCAACCTTTTTAATAGTAGAAATAAGGCGTAGAAACCTAGAGCTTCCGGTTGCTAGTCCCCTGCCTGTAATGGCCCTTTAGAAGGGGTGAATTAACCGGATTTCCTACATAGGCATAGTGCGTTTAAGCGTACCGTAGTGTCGCGTAGCGGAGCGGAATGCAAAAAAGGACGTCAAAGCTAGTTCTGCAGGGTGAAAAAGTCCGTTTACCCCGTCCCGACAACTTGAAGAAGTTCAGCCCCAGAAAAAACTTTGCAGCATTTTGAAGCGCAGTCATGAATGGTCTCGTTGCGCGCGCTTTGGCGTAATAAAGCGCAGCGTAGTGTCGCGTAGCATGTGGGAACGCAGAAAACTACGTGAAAACCCTGGAGTGAAAGTAAATAAATCTTCAACAGCATCGTTTGTTGGAGCGTAGCGTCGCGTAGTGCCACGGGACTCGGAAAAAAGAAAAGTTTCTACAGTCCATAAAACGCGCATCCCCCTCCCGCAACTTGAAGCAGTTCAGCTAGGAAAAGCGGAGTAGTACGTAGTAGCGCAGTAGGTAAAAATAGCCAAATTCGAGCCGTTTTCGTTCGTATCGAAGGGTGTATATTGCGTTATGCCAAGGAATTCACCAAAGAGTCCGGTATATACAGTCCAGAAAGCGCATTTCTACCCGTATCGACATCTTGAAGCAGTTCAGCGCTTCGAAAGCGTCGTATTACATAGTATGAAGTTTCGTAAGTAGTAGCGCAGTGTATTAGAAAAAGCCAAATTTTTCGAGCTTTCGAGCCCTTTTCGAGCGTATCGCAGCGTAGTCCCGCGGAATTTACAGGGTTAAGCGGAAAAACGCGTTTCAAGTCAACGTAAAAATAGTCAACTCAGTTTTCATTCTATCTACTTTCTATAATCCGTTCTATACCCCCTTACGCTTAATTTACACCAAATATTTCAGCGGGACGCCTAGCGTGTAGCAGCACACCCTCAAAAAAAAATCAGAAAAAAGCCACGATGCTGATACGACCAGTCCACGTGTTCGGCGTGGTGTTTCTGGCCGCATTTGGTGAGTAATAGTCAAATTTAACGCCCAGAATCGTATGAAAAACACCAGAAATTTCGCAGGTCAACCCAAAAAAACGCGAAAAACGCCCCAAAATGACCCGGAAAAAGTTATAATCTTAAAGCCAAAAAACCGGAAAATGCCCCCAAATAAACCCCATCAACCTAGTAATTTTAGGGCAAAGATCTGCGCAAAAACGCCCCAAAATAACCCAGAAAACTTGACATTTTTAACGCCAAAACCACCCAAAAAACCCTTTAATTTTAACGCATAAAATCAAGGAAACAACGCACCAAAATGCCCAAAAAAGGCGTAGGATTTTAACGCTCAAAACCCGTAAAAAAACACCCCAAAATCCCAAAAAACACCCCAAGTAAACCAACATTTTGCAGTGCACCTCGTCGACTCGCAGGCGTTGAACGACCCGATCACGCAGTACATCGAGGGAAGGCTCGGCAATCGACGCATCTTCTGGTGTCCCTCGGGTTACGGTAGGTCGCCTGAAAATTTGGATTTAATAAGTACACAATCTAGATAAAAACATCGACTTTTCGACAAAAAAAAGCCGATTTTCGATCCGAATTTCGACTTTCCAAAAATTTTTAGTTTTTAAAAAGATTGTCTGGTTGAAAAAAGCCTTATTTTGCTAAAACCACTATTAAAATATTTACTATTAAGTTTCCAGGAATTTCTAGACTTATACAAACAATTTCGCCTCCCCCCCCCCGGTAATGCACAAGAACCTAAATCTTGCTGTAGCCACTCCTTAAAACTTCAAGCTACAAAAATTTCATATTTTCAGGCTACTTGGCATTCTGCCCACAACCCACCGACTGGGACAACTACAACTGGTGCTGCACATGGCCCTACATGGGATCGTACGTTTTTTAGAGATTGTTTAGTCTTGCTAGCCGAGCTCATTTGGGATCGTATATTTTTCTTCAGTTTCTTCGAATTTCTAGATTTCGAAATTCATCAGTTATAATCGAAAATGCAGAACAATCGATTTATCAGCGCCTGTTTCAAAGAAAATTTGAAATTTGCCTATTTTTGGGGCATGAAACCTACCTAAATTTGATTGAAAACACAGAAAACGCCTGATGCGAAAATCTCTTTTCCTCAAATTTCCTTTGCTAGTTTGCCCTAATTTTCAAGCAAAAAACAAGTTTCCCAAATGCTCTCTGCTAGCCCCCAGAATCCAAAAATTTAAAAATCGAATCCCACCATATATTCCAGATGGAAGCCGTCATGTTGCCCATTCGCAATTCCAACCGGGGCAGTGGTGGCCATTATCATTGCAGCCATCATCCTTGTTGCAGGTAGGGCAGAGGGTTACCGTACCTGAAAAATAGTAAATGACCAAAGCTAAAATTATTGACATTCCTATAGAAAAGAACGGCCAGAATAGGCAAAAAATCCGGAAAAACGCTTAAATACCTTCAAAAAATTTTAAAAATCAATAAAAAGATCCTTTGTACTTGTATCACATTACCGCTATTTTATATTCTATCTATTAATTACTAACAGCAAAATATCCTTTCAAAAAGACGCTCGAATCTGTTAAAACACTCAAAAAAAATGTTTGTTGCGAAACCCCATTTTTATTACACGATTTTCAACATTAAATTTATTTAGATTATATGAAAAAAGATAGGACCCAAAAATAAGTTAAGAAATCTTATTAGATCCCCAATTAATATATTTTTATAATTTTTTGTGATTTTAACTAAATACTATTTTATTACGCTATTTTTCAAAAATAATAATTCACTGAATTTTTCCAGTGCTAATCGGCCTGTCGTGCTGGTGCTGCTACTGCTGTCCGTTATATAAGGAGCTGTACGAGTCGCCGTACGACGATTAGACCAATCTACAGTACCCTCCAGAACGCAAAAGTTACCCATTTCTCTAGTCCCCTAAAATGTGCCCCAACTGGCTACCGTATCCCAAACTGCCCCACTTCAGATGATCTTTCTTGACCCTTGAAAACCCTGCGAAATCCCCGTTGTGATCGTTGTCTTTTTTTTGTTTCCAAATCGTGTGCTCAAAAAGTGCCCATTTTGTAGTTGTCATTTTTGTCTTTTTAAAGGGACGAGCAAGTCTGGGATTTATGGCTTTTTTTAAGGCTAGGAATTTACGCACCCCGCGACGCAGGCGGCTAAAAAAATGGCGTAATCGATTACGCAATGAAATTCGTACGCGCGCGTTGCGTGTCGCGGCGCGAAAAACCTAGAAATCCACAGCAAAAATCGTGCATTTTTCTTGCTAAAAATCGCGCGATACGAAACGCATACGTGCCGTTTTTCGGCTAAATAATGGCAGAATCGATTACGCAACTAAATTTGGGCGCGGAAACACTAAAAAAAATCGTACATTTTCTTGCTAAAAATCCCGCAAAACGCAACGCACGCGCGCCGCTTTTCCGCTGAATAAATTGCGTAATCGATTACGCAGTTTAAAACCGAAAAAATCGACATAAAGTCATAGAAATCCTGCCTTGCCCGTCCCTTTAAAAATTCCGTCTCTTCGCATTTTCCTAACTCTCTCTCATTTTGCCCTCGGCAAGACCATTGTGATCCGATGTGAATATAGGGGATTTTATGAGACTTTTTAACGTTATTTAAACTTATTTAGACAAAACTTGACGACGTACAGGGGAGCGTAACGTAGCGTACACCCCTGTACGCCTACAGTACCCCCCAATCCGTAAGAATTCTATTATACGCTCCTACTTATCATTTCCGCTTCCGCAACCCCGCCGCGAAAATCTCAGCGACCTGCACAGTTCCGCTTTTTACGCCCCAACACGCCCTCCCGAGAAAACTTGTGTAAAACCCGCGATAATTTATCCCGATTGACGAAATGAATAAAGGAAAAGTAATACAGAAATAAACACAAAAAAAATATCTATAAAATTACGGCTAGAATATATGTGACAAAAACAAGAATAATTCTTTTTGCACACAAAAAGTTGTACTTTTGCATTATCGGGGGGGGGGGGGCGGCTAATTTTTTCTACAATTCCAGAAATATCTGGTAACGTAATGGCAAGGTTTTGAATGGAATTTTTGGCAACAGTTCGCTATATTTCCGGTAAAAAATCAGTACAAAACGTAGAAAATGTTTTGAAAAATTCGAAAGTTTTGTCGAAAATCGGTCATTTTTGTCGAAACTCTATATTTTTTTTATATTTCACTAAAAATTCATAAAGTTTTTGCGTTTAGCAAAGGTAAAAAAGGCGAAAGCCCCCCGATAATGCAAAAGCGCCTAAAAATCTACAAATACGAATAGCGATTGTGAGAAGAGGAGACACCGCGCGGAAGAGTAGGGCAACGCGAAGCGCGCTAAAAAATAGTCATAGTAAAGCCAGCTTTATTTTGGTATTCTTGGCTTTAATCCAACGCATTTAAAAGTCGTACAAGTGGTAATTCTGTAAATATCTTTATTAACAAACCCATAAATGCACGTATTATACAAAAAAATAACGTTTGATAGCTACAATTATGTACACGTCAAAAAAAAACAAGAAAATACATTGAGCGAACGGACAAAAATATAGATTTACTAGCCGAGAATTTTGAAAAAACTTTTCAAGGCGTAAAACTCGTGCTCAAAATTTTCTAGACTCTCGATTTTACAAAAATATAATTTTAGCGAAAAAATTAAGATATTTCAAGGCATAAAATCAACCTAGAAGATGTTTCGAGTCTTCTAACTCAATTTTCCGCCCATTCCACCTTACAGATACCGGAAAACCATCAGAATCGAACTCAAAATTCGGGAAGATCAGATCAGCGACGGCCGACTTCACCAAGCCGTATCGGCCGAACGGGGCTGGGTGGTAGAGACGGCCATTCGGCAGCATGAAGAAGCGCGAGGGCTAAAAAGAGCGTTTTCGGATCGTTACGTACGAAAAGAAAATCTGTAAAAATTCGGGCTAATGGCCAAAAATAGTATCAAATAGCGGAAAATTCTTCGAAAAGTTAATTTTTCAACTTAAACCCCCCGCTAAGTCATTCCTCCCCCGCAAACGACCTAGTACCAAAAACGCTTACATAACTGGTAAAAAGCGCGCTACCGCAATTTCCACTTTTATCGTCGACTCGCCCAGCCTCCAGAATTTGCCGTCGTCGAGGATTTTCGTGAAGACGATCGGCCGATCGTCACATCTGAAAAAACCCAGATTTCTAACTCTACGCACGATTCGGTGCTTGTGCATTATCGGGGGGGGGGGGGTAATTAGTTTCTGCGAGTCAAAGGATGCGTAGTAATTTACTCTCAAGTTTTTGTCGCGGTTTTAACAAAAATTCTCTAGATTTTAATTGGAAACATTCGAGAAAACTTCGCAAAATTTAAATAATTGGAAATTTGGTAGAAAATCGATATTTTCATTTTGCGAGTTTTAATAAAAATTTGTACTATTTTTACGCCAAGTTAAAGAAGAGTAGAACGTTCAAAGAAAAAAGACCGTACGCCCCCCCGAATGCCAAAGAACCAACTATTCCGATACCTCAACAAATTCCTCTCGCGTCCACAGCGGCTCAGGTAGGGGAAGTGCTCCTCAAATCGGCCCGTCTCGTTTTCGCGCAGGTGCTTGTAGAAGAAGTTCAAGAAGTCGACGTCTGGAACGAGTAAATCAATCAAGTGTTATCAAAAAACTATAATAAAAAATTATTGATGAAGTACAGCAAAGTATTAAAAATTATAAAAATCGTGCCTTTATACGCCGACGTAAAGTTCTTCATCCTGGCGTCGTCGAGGAAGAGCATGCCCTCGTGGTTGATGTAGTAGAAGTACTCGCGCACATTTCCTGAAAAAGAACATTAAAAAATATTGCCATTAAACTATAGCAGAAATACTAATCTAATGGACCGCAAAAATCCCTCAAAAATTATATATTCTTCTATTTAAGGTTCTTTCGCATTACGGGGGGGACTTTTTACCCAAGGATCCAATTTTTCTACTGTAAATAGAGAACGTGTTTTTAAACTGTTTTGACTATTTCTAAACGTAAAATCCAAAGTTTTATTTAAAAAATGCAAAAATATCGATTTTTTTACTAAAAATGGCTGATTTTCGGCCAAAATTTTTAATTAAAACACTGTTTTAATTTTTTCCATTGTTATCTACTTAAAATATAGCTACATTTTGCTAAGCACACCATTAAGGCACTTACCATTACCAAAAAACGTCGCCCCCCCCCCCGCTAATGCAAAAGAACCGCAACACTAAACTAAGAACCCTAAAACTCCTCTAAAATTCTAAAATATCTTCTTTTATTTCGAATAAATTTTTACTATTTTCTTTCTCTTCATATCTATAGCCTCAATCTAATATCTATAAAATTCAAAACCCCCAAAAAAGTACAAAAAAACACGACTTCGCATAAAACATCAATTACCAGACAACCACTTTGAACCCGGGGATTTTGGCACTCAACATCACTCGATTAACACACGTTCCCTCGTATATAAAGAGCCCCCTGGAAGGCACAAGTACCCAACAAACTTCAACAACAACAACAAGAAGATGGCCCAATCCGTCGCTCCCGGTGACATCATCACGCAGCCCGGCACGAAGATCGTGTTCAACGCCCCGTACGATGACAAGCACACCTACCACATCAAGGTGATCAACTCTGGAGGACGTCGCATCGGATGGGCCTTCAAGACCACCAACATGAAGCGTCTTGGTGTTGACCCGGCCTGCGGAGTCCTCGACCCCAAGGAGCAGGTTCTGGTGGGTGCTTTGAACGGCTTGAGCTTGTCGTATCTTCTTTGGAGCGCGTGCACTGCTCGATTTTGATGGAAATCTGTTGATTTCTGATCTTCGCCTATCAAAACAGCTTGAACTGCTCGAACTTGACGTTTTAGCGTCTCTAATCGATCTGTTCCAGGTGGCCGTCTCGTGCGACTCGTTCCAGTTCGGCGCTGAGGACACGAACAACGACCGCGTGACGATTGAGTGGACGAACACCCCCGACGGTGCCGCCAAGCAGTTCCGCCGCGAGTGGTTCCAGGGAGACGGCATGGTCCGCCGCAAGAACCTCCCCATCGAGTACAACCCCTAGAAGCTATTTCTGTGTGCCTTTTTGGATAAAGCTGCTGGTTTCTATGTTCTTTGCTTGTCATACACTTGATTATACACTGGTTCCGGTTGTCAAGAGCAACAAAACCGCAGGCTCAGTTCCACATTACGCAAGTATTGTATCTTCCTCTTTGTTCTTCCGCGCCAGAGGTTTTGTCCTTTCGGAAGCGGAGTTTTGGTTTTCGGCTCGGCTTCTGAAGCCAAGGCTAAGCATCGAAGTCTGGCTTTCCTCGAGAAGTGTACGGGAAGAAGTTTTGAGGATGAGCTAACAAGGAGTGCAGTCTTTTCGATGCGATCGAGCTGATTCGACAGTTCGAAATTCTGCATAAAATTCTTCTTCTTATTCTTTCAAAAGCTCCTGAACGCCAACCGCTTTCGAGAAAAAGGCTCTCAAAGTTCACATTTTGTGAAGCGCAGCCAAAATGGGCAAACCCGGCATTTTCAAAGCCAATTTTTTTTCGAAGAACGTCGTGTTGGAAGCTGAGCTTATTCAGAAGTTAAAGCTCTATCAATTCGGCTTCAAAAGCACAGCAAACCCGCCCCTTTTAACTCAAAATCACCTTCAGAAAAAACTGAGCCAAGCTAAGCAAAAGCGAAGCCAAGACCGGCAGGAAGCGGAAACAAAAAGAAGCTCATACCATTAACTTGTCCTTGCACGTACTTGATCGGGACGGTGGCCGCAAATCTTCGTAACAACATCTAAAACCTGAAAATCGAAACCTAAAAATCACGTCTCAATTTCCAAAGTTCTGAAATAATTGCCATTTGTAATGATCTGCATCTTCCTCCTCTCCACGCCAAAGAGCTCGAAATTTATTCATAGACTTCACAAGTACTTACATTTCTTTGTGCGTTAACCAAGAAAAGAGACAAACGTAAAGAGAGAGAGACATAAAAATATATAATAAGCAAAGAAACCGCGCTTAGGACCTTGACCAACTAGTAGTACAACGATAAACTGTGCTCTACACTCGACGACAAATGTAATGAGGAAAATAGGGGGGTCGTCGACTGGGGGCCTAGATGATGTGCACGTTGGAGGTTTTGCCCTGCTGCTTGTCGAACTCGGGGTCCTGGGCGACCTTCTTGTAGTAGTCCCAATCCTTCGACAGCGGCTTGTCCCCTTCCACCGCCGACTTTTGCATGTAGAACTCGTAGGGGAACTCGTAGTTCTTCTTGTCTTGGTAGAACATGCCCTTCTTCCAGAAGGAGTAGTCGAATTCGCCGGAGGCGAGGCGGGCCTGGAAAACGCTCAGTTAGTGGATTTTTTTGTTTTTAGGGTATTTAGACAAAAATAGTGCTTCGACTACAAAAAAATTTTTCACGGCAAAAACGCTTCGTTCTCAAATGCGTAATAATTAAAATAAGAAAAACATGTTTCTAACAGTTTGCGCTGTTTCTCCAATCTCAAAATAACCCGGAAGCGATAAAAAGCCCCAAAAGTTTGAATTTTTTATCAAAAACCTATGCAGAATGAGCAGAGCTAGGGGACAACTTTGAATTTCCAAAGCTATCACATACCTTCTAAAATTTAAGCACGTTCTTACAAAACTGCCGTCATCGGTAACACTCAAAGCATTGTGAAAATTTCATATTTTATGACTAGGCACCCTAATAAAAACGAAAACACTTCACCCCCCCCGCCCCGCTAACACGAAAGCACCTGAAGCATACCAGAAAAATTCTATCTTCAAATTCTAATAAAAATATACCTTATGATCTTCCAAGGCCTGCTTTCGCGCGTCCATAATCTCGGGGTGGCGCCGTTCCCAGACGAGGCGGTGCTTCTGCTTCATGTAGACGTCCCGCACATCAGCCTCGGACCCCAGCTCGCCGTACTTGACGAAGAAGTTGAGCTCGTTCTCCTCCATCTCCTCGATTGCCGAAAGCACACAAAATAAATTTTACATGACAATCAATACCGGTGCGCACTTCTTGAAGTCGGGGTTGTTGTACACCATGCATCGGTCCACCCGATTTCGAAGGGTCTACAATAACTGTTAAAATCCGATTAAAATGTATACCTGAAGAATGTAGCCGTCGACGAGCTTGTCCAATCGGTATTGTTCGTTGGCCTCGAAGAAGCAACCCTGGAAAAAAGATTTAGATACATCGAATAAAGCTAATTTACTAGTTATTGATCAATTTTTAGCTCTATTTGAAGCGGAAATTACTTAGAAAACGCCGAAAAAGGCTTAAAATTTTAGTTTTCTCGAAAAATCTAGATATTTCGTATTTTAAATACAGATTTGTAACGTTTTTACTTTTAGAAATCGTAAAAATGGTGGTATACATAGCGAAAAAGCTCCATTTTTTAAGCAATCTCAATTTATACCTTGTCATTCACGCCGCACTCGTCAATCTCGGGCACGCGGGTCAGCTTGCGGTGGTAGTACGGTAGACGCCCGCCGTCGTTGTTGGGCTCGACAATCTTTTCTGGAAAAGGGAAAATTTTGGTTAGTGGAGCCAAAGTAACCTCTGAACCAGCTGGCCGGGCGGTCGAAGGTCCGCTGCACGTAGTATTGAATCCGGGGGGTAGATCGTCCCGCGCGAGTTGAGGTCGCGAAGCTAAATGAAATTTACATTAACGTTTTTACAGAATTTTACGCCATTCTCAGTTGGAAATACGATCAAAAAGTTAAAGATATTGTAATCTCACTCAAAAATATCTGAAAAATCGCCAAAAAAACAGGAAAAACAAAAATTTTCAAAATGTAATATATTAGTTTTCGGAAACTATTAAAACCCTTTTTGAGATGGAACCGGAAGCACAAAAAATAAAACTGATCAAATACCAACCTTCCAGTAAGCTTCCCACTCCTCGCGGTCGGCGGCGCGTCGGGCCTGCACGAGGTCCTCACCCATCTATAAAACAACAAAGTTTTAACGTATTTTGTACCCATAAAATTCACAAAATGACAAGAGAACACGTTGAATCGAGAGAACAGGTTGGGAAGGGGAAATCGGGAAAGTCAATAGAATCGGCGGCAAATCAACAACGGATCAAAATCAACCAAACAAGCAAAAAATGAAACCACGACAGTTGAGCGAATCATTTTTGAAGCCCTAAATGAGAACGACGTTGGAGCATTAACTTTAATCTTTTCAAAAATCGGTAGACTGTCGTGGGCCCCAAAAAAAAATTGAATGTATCATAAGGACAATTTACAGCACAAACATCACAAATCAACGAGCAAAGAGCAGAAAAACAATAAAAATTAGGCAATGGTAAACTTGTTCTCCTCGCCCTCGCGCTTGAACGACTTCTCGACCTTGCGATTCGTGTAGACCATCATCACGGGCAGCCCGCGCTTGATGGAGACGCCGGGGATGGTGAGGATCTTGCCAAACTCCATCCACGGGTAGACCTCCATCACGTATTCGTCGTACTCGTCGGAGACGAAGAACGAGACGTCGGCCATTTTGTAGGCGTGCTCGGTGTCCCATTCGGCCGGCTCTTCTAGTACACGGGCCATCAGCTCGCCGATGACCACATCTTCAGCGCACTCGGTCAGCACGTCGATTTGGCCAGTCTCGGGATACTGAAAAAGGGGGAATATAGAAAAAAATAAAAACTCCAATTTTTTCGTTCTTTCGCTTTATCGGTTTTCTAGTTATAGTTTTTGCTCATAATGCCAGTTTTACCTAAATAGCAGGTATATAAAAAGGGCTATTCGTAAAATAATAGTAAAATCTAAAAAAAAATTAATAATGAGGAATTTTAGTCGAAATCGTTAATGATATCCTAATTAGTAAACCTGAATGTATAAAAGTGCAAAAAACAGACTAAAAGAATCCACATTTTGGCCCAAAATCACCAGTTTTTCGTCGAAAAAATAGTTATTTTCGTAATTTTGATAAATTTTGATAACGTTTTTACCTCGATAATGGAAAATTCGAACGCGCCTCTCATTCGAAGAAACATAAATCGAATACCTGCAATAACAAGGGCCACGTCAGCTTGCCCTCTTCGTTGAACGCGACCCGTTGATGTTCTCGTAGCTGCGGCAGTTGAGCTTCCAAGTAATTCCATTCAAAAAGTTCGGGGCTCGCGAGATCGATCGGCGGCTTGAAGCGTATGGCCCGAGACTTGAGCGCGTCCAGCATCTTCTTCTTCTCGGCGAGATCCTTGTTGCGCTGCGAGCGCTCCTTGCGCGCATTCCGCTCCTCGACCACCGCGCGCTCCTTCGCCTTCTTTTCGGCTTCGTCGAGGGCGTCGAAGTTCTTTTGGTCGCCTTCGAGCTTGTTTTTTCGGCTTGACTCGATCCAGTCGAGGCACTGTTGGCCGTAGCCGAGATCTGAAAAATAATACGTAATTTATCTAGTTTTTTCATACTTCGTCTTTTCACGTCAAGAAAATTACTAAAAGCCCAACAAATGTTGAAAATTTCGTTTTTCCTAATCTTTTCTTCTTTTTAATTCAAGAAAATTCCTACAAACTCATTAAAATGTCGAAAATTTTTACTTTTCTTCAGAAGAAGTATGAAAATGCCTAAAAATTAAAATTTTCATAGTTTTCAGTAATCAAAAAGTAGTAAAAAGACTTGAAAACACACTATCAAAGGATAAAAATCTCTCCAACTCGGCTAGATAGCTTTTCTTTCAGCTTTCAGAAACCAGAATACAGAAATTCAGAATTCAATTTCAGAATTCAGAAAAATTCTATACCTAGCAAGCAATCCGCTCCTCGTACGACGGCCTTCAAATTTGTTGGGTCGAATCGCCGCGAAAACACGCAATCCCGCACGGCCGACCGTAAATTTCCGATGTGTCGTTGCGCGGCCCCGCGATTTTGATAGAGCAACGAGTTGAGCTTGCGGTCGGCGCACATCCGCTTCAGGCCCCGCGTGTAGCACTCCGTCGCCCATCGATATTTCTTGAGCTTGAAGTGCTTGTTGCCCTCATCTTTATCGTGTTGCGCGCCTTCGATTTGATCCTCCTCGCCCTCGCCGTCGTATTTCATCGCCTAAACATGTTTCCTAGATGGAAATTCTGCCAAAAACATACCTGTAGTGCTTGGATGGTCTCCGAGTATTCGCCGCCGTCCCCTTTCAGCTCCTTCATAAACGCCGGGTGGCTGTCGATGTCCTTGCACCACTCGTCAAAGTCGAACGGCTTGCGCTCGCCGTCGCCCTCCGCGCGCTTCTTGGCCGCCAGGTCCTCCATGAATCGGTCCAGGTCGTCGTCCAACTTCTGCGCAAGCGCCGCGCGCTCCGCGTCCGTCATTTTTGCTTTCGGTGGTTCGCTCATTGCCCTGGAAATTGAGATTTTAATGATGGTCTTAGAGCTTGGAATTGCCGAATGGGGAGAAAAAGCACAAATTATTAAATTGGAGCTCGGGAACTACAAAAGTAGCTTACAACTAGCGATGCCAAAAAGATGGAAATTCTTTTTCATATCATTCTTTCGGAATTTGAAGATCTGTTTGAAGTTTTGGAGAGAGCAAGCCAGTTTTTTCGCTAGAGCGATGTAACGAGATTAAAAAAAAGGCAAAAAATGTCAAAGATTTTTTACTATTTGATCTGATTCGAGAGCAATACACCATCACTATTTAAAAAACGCTCGATCAATACGAAAGTAGTTTAAAACTACTTTTTCTCACACAAAAACGCAATTGCAATCAAAAACTTTATTCACGCAAACCATGCCCAAAATAACGAAACAAGGTAGAAATAACAACGAATGTCAGCGGGATCGAAAAAACGGAATAACTCAAGTCTAGGCAGTAACATCCATCGGCTCAGCGGGCAGCAACGGGCCCGCGGCTCCATTGATGTTTTTTATTTTTATATATATAAATAATAAATAAATATTTTTTTAATATAAATTAAATAAAAAATTTTAATTTTTTAAAAACATTTAATTGCAAAATTATTCCCCCCGGCCCCCCCCCCTACCGGAATTCCCGGGCGTGGGGGCCTTAAATTAATTTTTACTATTAATAATTAAAAAAAAAAAATTTTTTAAATTTTTAATTATTATAAAAAAAAAAACATTATAACGAATCTGTATAATTTTATCCTAGGTCCAATCGGGAGGGAAGAAATGGAAAAAAATATAGGATCTTAAATAAAAACAAAAAAATTAAAAATAAATATAATATTATAAATTTTTTCTTTTAAAAATAAATATAATTATTATTTTTTTATTTATTATAAAAAATATTTTTATTTTTTTTATTATTAAATTTTTTAATATTCTAAAATAAAAATATATTAATATTTTATAAAAAAAAAAATAAAAAAAAAAAATATTACAAAAATAAATATTTCCAAAAAAATAGTTAAAAAAATCCCATTTTACGGATGAAAAAAGAAGGAGCTCCCATACGCGATAAGAGAAAAAAAAAAAAAAAAAAAACAAAAAAAATTTAAAAAAATTTTCTAAAAAAGAAAAAAAATTTTAAAATTCTTATACAAATTTCAAAAAACCAACCCCCCTATTTTCAAAAATTAAAAAAATTATATTATAATATATATACTTTTTTTATATTAATTAATTTTTTTTTTTTATTTATTAATATTTCTTCTTTTTTTTTCTTTCTTTTTTTTTTTTTTTTTTTATTTTTTTTTTAATTTCTTTTTTTTTTTTATTATTTTATTTTTATATTTATATATATATTAAAAATTTAATTTTTTAATAATAATTTAAAAATTTAAATTTTATATTCTACCCCCACCACTTTTCCACCCCCTCCCTAATTTGGGGGAGAACCAAAATGTAGAAGAAAGGAAAAAAAAAAATTTAAAAAAAAAATTAAAAAAAAAAAAAAAATTTTATTAATTTTAAAAAATTTTTTTTTTTTTTTTTTTATTTTTTTTTTTTTATTTTTTTTAATATTTTTTTTTATTTTGGGAGGGAATGGGGGGGGGCGGGAGGGGGGGGGGGGGGGGGGGGGGGGGGGGGGGGGGGGGGGGGGGGGGGGGGGGAGGGAGGGGGGAAGGG